GTGCGCCGCGCCGACCCGGCGTCCGACGGCGGTGTTGACCCGCCAGCCGACCGGGGCCAGCCTCCCAGGCCCCTCCGGCCGCCCCCGGCTCGGTCCGGAGGTGGCGGCCGGCCGTCGGCGGGGTGGGGGTCACGCCCCTGAGGCCCGGCCGGCCGGGCGTCCTCGAGGAGAGATGCGGCGCCGGTCGTGACTCGGCACCCACCCGCGACCGTGGCCGGGCGCGGGCCGCCGTCGGCCGGCTCGGGCGGACGGGCCGGCCGGCCGGCCGCCGTTCGCGGAATGTGTCGGGGAACACCGACTGACGTGTGACTCAGGAGCCGCCGCCGCCGTGGGGGCCGGATCTGTCACGGTGCTGAGCCAACGGAGCCAAAACCAGTCCGCTGCCACGGACGCCGGGCGCTGTTTTGGACTTATTCTTGCCATGTTAACCAGCAGCCACCATGGGTCTAATGCTTGTGTTATAGAAGAAAAACTGGGAACAGACCGTGCTCAATCCCGCGCCCATGTGGTGGCACGGGAGTGGAAGCGTTTTCTTGGCAGTTAACCGGCGGGTATTCACGTGCCATGATGATGATGAATGATCAAGCCAGCCCGGGCCAGGTCTTTGGAACTTGATTGCTTCCCACTCAGCGCTCAAGGTAATGATCCAGGCGAGATGATGGTGCCGACGACTAACACTTGTCGAAGGCACTTTGTCTTGTGACTCAAGCAGCTGTCATTCAGCGCCTACGGCGGTGCCGGTGAGCTGTGGTTAAGGGGTTAGATATATCGAACGACAAGGAGTCGGGATAAAGTCAGCAATAAAGGTACCCAGCTTTGTATACGTGGACATCGTTGATATTACTTACTTTCATGGCCTGGCTTCTGGCGTTATTGCAGTTACATACTTATATGATCCCAGACCACTCATTGCAGGTCAGATAGAGGCAAACCGGATATTGCTCAAGTCGTGAAGTAAACACCTCAAGGTTGGGTGTCACGTGCCGGGCCATTTCGTCTTCGAGACCCAGTTCGATCACCACGAACCATGTTAGACCAAGCCGGATAAGGCGATCATGGACTTGACCGGACCGGTTCAAATCAGATCAGATTCTATCAGGCCAGACCAGGCCAAACCAGACCAAGCCGACCCTCACCAGACTGGTCAGCCAGCGAGGCCAGGTCAGAGCCACAGTCCTCGTCCCCGTGAGGTAGCAGACCATTGTTTCCGGAACAAAGACTGTGTGATGCCCGCCGCCCACGCACGCAGGGAAGGTGGAGGCGCCACCGGGTCATCCCAGACAGCCAGCAGCAGCTGAGGTGGGGTGGGAGCCATCGGGTCAACCCACACAGCTGGCGGCAGGCGAGGTCTCCTCTGCCCCCTCCACTGACCCTCCCACTCCACCCGACGGGGAGGCCAAGGTGTCACGGCAGCCGTTCCCGCGCGGGGATTTTTCACCCGATCAGCCTGGCGAACAGCCAGCGGCGGCCGGTGTATACCCCTCGCTGTGCGGGAAGATGGAGTCATCACGAGTCCGTCCAGAGAGCAGCCAGCGGCAGGCGCGCGGTCTCGCGCCCCTCTCACTCCCAGGGAGGGCGGAGCCATCAGCGGGTCGAACCAGACAGCCAGCGACAGCCGGGGTCACCCGCTCCACCCGCACCCGGCCGCGCCGCCCGGCAGGGCCGCCAACAAGGCCGCATTACCATACGCCGGGCCGTGATAATTGCACGGGGCGCGGCCATGCTCCGGCGCGAGACCCCGACTGAGCAGCTGGCCGACGGGCGGCGACAAGCCGCCGCGGAGGGGCGGCAGGGCGGCGGCGCCACCGGACGGCACGCTCTTGCGTCAGCGGCCGCCGCCCGCGCCGCGCAGCCCTCGCCGGCGTGACCCGACGAACCGCCTGGCAGTGAAAGTCGCGGACGCTTGCGGCGCCTCGCGCTGCCCCGCCTTGCCTCGCGTGCGGTACGGCACGCCGCCCGCAGCGGCGGCCGGCGTCAACTGACGGTGTTGGCAGTAGTTGCGGTGTACCGCAACCCGGGCCGCCCAAGGCTGCTCCGCTGTCTGCTCGTGACGTACAGGAGTGCTGTCGTTTGCTCGCTGTTAAGGCTATGTTGCTTGCTTAAAACCATGTCGTTATTCGTGTCATAAGCCATATTGAGGACAGTTATATCCATGTGGAACGAGGTGAACAGGGAGCTGAAATGCACTTTTGAAAACGTGCATAGGCCGCTTTAAAAATTTTCGATTAATCCGCTATTTTTATTTCCGATTCTTGAAGTCATAGTTAGGCATCTCACTGATATACACATCTTAACCAGCAAAACAGGCGATCATTTGGCCAATTGACCCCCATTGTGAGCTTCTGAAAGTCTGGCCAATGCTGATCAGTAGTTTCCAAAGTTACACGCATGCGTACTTCACTCCGTGCCGCTCCAGATATTCCGGATCTGGCTCACTGAGCGCCAAGCTGAATTTCACCACCCGGTGAACATTCTTTGCGTTTTGTTTTCGTTCAGTCAATGAGTCGGCGCGCTAAGAAAAGTGAACACTCTCGCTCGCCGCTTGTGTATTGCCTCGTGAAAGGAGCGCTACACGCATGTGGTGTCCCGGTGCGCGCCCAGCCGAGCCGGGAAAGCGCGGCTCGGAGGCGGAGGTCAGCGGCTGCGGCGGAAAAGGGCAATAAACCGCCTGTGGTGGCAACTGCCACAGCACAACTGAACGGCATCGGATGGCTTCATCGAAGGTCAGAGTGCGTTCACGTGGTAACCAGCCCAATAAGTTTCCCGCCCTTAAAGAGGGAGGACTATACACAAAGGAGAATTTCCGTTTTTGAAATTTTTGTCAGCTGCAATTCCTGGAAACTGCAAAATTCATTCAAAGCTTGTCAGTTGAAACCAGGCTTCCTTGTACAGTTTCCTGCTTCGGCGATGCTAGCTGGTACATTCACACTGACACAATAGCCAAGCTAAAAGGCGTTATTCAAAAGTCCACCGTTGCTGTAATCATGCTACGAAACATGGGCTTCATGCAATTTTTCCCACAGTCGGGCGGTGCCCTCGGTTCAAGGTGGGCACTGTGCGCGCTATGTTGCATCGCAATGGAGATTTACGTAATGATTAGATGCAAAATGTGGTCGCTCATGCCTGCGCAACCAAAAAATAACCGGTGTTGTAAATTAGCCCTTATTTCAACCAGTTTCGCAGCCGAACATGTCATGTGCAGTCTTGGTTTTCGCGGCATAAAACGGCGCGCAGCGTATGCCGCGTTACCTGCTGCATTTTCGAATTATCGAATCTGATCAATTTGACAGCGTGTTTGTGAGATATTCCTTACATCCGACGCACAACATTCAGGGCTGTTGAATTAAGCTGATGGGAAAATAGACCACGGTTCATAATTCCGACTCCAGCGTAAGTTGGTGCTCAAAATGCTTAGTGGCCATTGGAAACGAAGTCGCTATGAACATGAACCCCATTGCTGACGGTCTCTTCCCAGGCCGACCTTACCCTGCAGAGCTGGCATTACGGTCCCCCAGACCGCGAGAAAGTGTCTAGTGCCTAATTGCAGAAGGGATGGACAAACCCGGTTCATTACAGCGGAGTCAAGGTGATCTAATTTGTTCAACGGCCCGAGCAAAGTGGAAGTATTGCAGCTACCAAGCGCATGCATTATCTTTCATTATAATTGCCTCATGCAGTTAAGACTGTCTTCAGCTCAGACAAGAACATAACGGCGCTTATAACATAACTCAACGTGACTTTCAGACCACCTTCCCGCAATGCGATGGCTGTGTCTCTGCACGGGGAAGTGGACTCGGCTTAAGTGCCGCTCTCTTCCATGCCGGCGCCTGCTGGGACCGACCGGCTGGCGTCGCAGAACCAAGGTCAATGAACGCACAGACTGCTGGCGAACGTCGCACACTACATGGTGAGTTATGCTTCCATCTACATTTACTCAGGCTTTTTGTCGAGGACGCCTGACAGCAGGAGACTTTCGTGGCGTTTGATGCAACTGTGGTGCCCCGATGGCCATGCGCTCCGTATTACAGTCAGCGAAAGCTGGCAAGAGCGTAACGCAGCTTCTGGCTCCGTGTCACAGCCAGCTGCAACTAGCAAGGGTGTAATGCGGCTTCTGGCTCCGTTGCACAGCTAGCTACAGCTAGCGAGAGCATAACGGAGCTTCTTGCTCCGTCTTAGTCAGCTGCAGCTGGCAAGAGTGCAACGCAGCTTGGTGTAGGGGGCACCACGAGGTGCAGACGTACGACACGTCCAATCACAAGACACAAGCTCGCACCCGTGATCAACAGTCCGATCAAAGGGGAATTCGTCAATGTTTTGAAAATACCTGCCAGGACATTTAGCAGTGTAACACACCTACATGGAAAAGATAATTAAGGAAAGATGATGCGTCTCAGATTTAACTCCTCGAGCCGCTGAGAGCTTATCGATCACGGACAAAGTGTCTACAGGCAGGACAAATCAGTAAGCTATCACACCGTTCCCTGCAGGGCAGCCTTGCATGCAAAGCCCCCCTAAGCGAGCGGTGCATGCGCACGAACGCCGTGCGACCAACCGCAAAGGCCACTCAAGTTTTATTCTGTTGCGGACATTGTCTTCCGAAACTTCAGATTTGCATCAGATGCAAAAAGCATGGGGGGGTGCTGATGCCTGGCACTAAACCAACTTCATAGGAAGGTGGTCTTCATAACCCATGTTGATCGAGCGATATTTATGAAGTCCATTATTTATTATTCCTTTATTTTGCTCTTATCTGGTCGAAAGAGAAATGTTTATTAGGAAATATTGTACAACAAAAACAGCTATCATCGGATGCGTCTTGTTGGTCTAAACCTATCACGAATTCTGTCAGCCGTCTGAACAAGCTCAACCGAATTCAAAGCCCTGACATTAGTTCCTCGGCTCCAAGAGAGAAGCAATGTCAAGCCAGACCACTCCAGCATTCGTAAGATGCACAGTAAGCTCACCCTACGTCCAGACGAGTCCCGACAGTTTCTGCTTACCTGGCACGTCCTCGTCGTTGAACTTCATCTCGATCATGTGCTTCATGGCGTGGTGGGGCACGAACGAAGCCATGAAGCGCTGCTGGCCCAGGTCCTTGACGTAGGACGTCACGTGACCGCCGTTCACCAGGATCTCCAGGTTACCGGCGCCGGCTCTGGAACCATCAACTGCGCGGCGAGGGAACGGGGGGGGGGGGGGGGGGCGTGAGAGACTGTCGCTTGCTTGCCGCTCTGTGCGGGCGCCGGGGCTGTCTGGCCAGCCACAGGGGACTGGGACGGACCGGCCGCGCTCTCAGCTGCAGCGGAACGCGAGGACAACAGCACGGGAGATGTCTATGCGACTCACTCAGGCTCACTTGGGCGCACTCGGAGTTACGACCCGACACGACCGATATTCTCCGAACGGCCGAAGAAAATCAACACGCAAGGAAGTGGCTTTGGCTTCGGGCACAAGATCAGCGAACGCATACAGGGCTGCCCGTCCGCCTGCTCGGCCACCTCCTCGGCCGTCTTTGCCAGCCACCACTCACTCTCGAACTGGACGGGCCGGCCGACCGTGCCGTCCGGGATGCTGGCCACGCTGATCTGGGACGTGTTGTAGACGCTGCTGCCCAGCGGCGAGCCGGGGATCGGCTCCCCGCGCAGCAGAATGTCGATCTCGTGGTCCCCCACCGTCTGGGGAGGGGGAGGGGGTACTCAGGCGGCTGCCATGGTCCGCTGATATGCGATAATCTTGAGTTCGCGCCTTTTAGGGTGTCATTAACGCGACTTGCATGCCGCCGGTGATGAACAGAATCGTGTGAGCATGAGGCCATGCAACGCGAGGTGTGATGTATGACCACTCGCGCTCGTGCAGTGGCCTGGTCTTGTTTCTTTATATAACTGAGAAGGTGTGGCCATAAGGAGCTATGCTTGTAACGATAAGCATGATGACATTACTTTACATATGAAAGGTGATGCAAGGGATCAGCAGCGCCACCAGGCGGTGAGTTGTAATACCAAAGGACTTCCAATGGCAAAGGCTCACGTAGGCGGAGCTGACAGAGGTAAGGATAAACACTACATTTAGAATGTTAAGTGATTTTAGTACACCCGATGATGATAGATAACTGAGTTTTATATGGTGCAAGTTTATATTTCCAACCGTCGTGGCTTAATCTGAGTGTCGTCACAATGGTTCCGCAATCCTAGTTTCTGGAGCTTTTATCTCACATGCTTCATCCTTCAACTCGCATTTTAGAAAATCAGTAGTTCACTTTCTCAACAGAGGAAATCTGTTAGGGATAATTCCCCATCCCGCGAACATCGACGTTTGCAATGCCGTGTGTCCGCACGAGCTCACCTGGGGCAGGTATTTGACGAGGAAGTCGTCGCCGGTTTTGCTGATGCTGCAGGGGACGCGACGGTCTGATGGGTCTGTGAACAACGACGAGTCAGGGCCGGAGGCGGTGCAGAGGTGGGCGCATGTCTGCTGTCGCAAAGGAACAAAACGCGTGTCCGCCTTAGTTTGAGATATCTTTCCAAATACAGTCTCCGTGGCCCGTCCCAATATGAATTTTCTGCCTTAATGGCGTCAATGCGTAGCCGTTTTAAACAGTAATTATGTAAAGCTTTGTATTCCGTACGACAGAGTTTCCCAGTTTTCTAATTTGTTTAGTGCACTCAGAGAACTCAGTTTGCTCAGCACACGGCGTAAACGCTTCTTCTCTACGGGCAGTTATGTCTCGTCAGAGCCAGCGGATCTTCAGGCACTGGTGTCTGAAGCAGCACGGAGTACACCACGCTACTCAGCTAGTACAATTCTGGTGGCGACTTGGCATGTCCTCTATGTAGTTTTAACACAAACTGCACTGTTCACATTTTAAAAAAATTCGTCCTCATGACATTCCAGCGGGCCCGTTACATGCGATAGTAAAGCTACGAGCAAACCATCTGAGCCACGAGCAAACCATGTGAGCTACGAGCAAACCATATGAGCTACGAGCAAACCATCTGAGCTACGAGCAAACCATCTAAGCTACGAGCAAACCATCTGAGCTCCGAGCAAACCATCGGAGGCGACGGGACCGCAGCGAGCGGCGGCCCACAAGCCGCCTGACCCGATCTGCGCCGTGCGGCGCGGCCCGCTGACCTCGTATGGTGACCTGGATGAGGTCAGGCGCTTTGGCCCGTGCCGCGCAGGCGCCGGCGCGTGACGGGATGAACTCCGCCGGCCCGCGGACACGGGCGTCGTTGCGGCAGGGCCGGCCCACCGCGCACCGTGACGTCACCGTGCGTGGTGGTGATGTCGGAAGAGTGGGGCAGTCGGCCAGGGAGGACTGCAGCAGCCGGTCCGAGGAGGACTGCAGCAGTCGCGAGGACGAGCTGGACTGCACCTGTCGCCGCAGACGGAAACGTTTACGCACAGAACGCGAGACTGTGACTGCACTTATCACAAGGAAGCTGACATAAGGCCCTGCGATGCTAGTCACAACGCGTAAGCTTGTACCATTGTGAATATAAACACTGCACGTACGTCATGGCCCAGGTCAAGAGCGTCGCAACTGCACAGCATCACGTGTCGCCTCCCGGGCTCGAGTGGACATCTGAGCTCGGGTGGGTGCTCGGGCCGGCTTGTGAGTACTTGAGCTGCATCATGACAGCTTGAGTACGTACTCGAGCCCGTCACAAGGAATATGGATGACGATGCGGTCCACGTAAGCTGGTTTCGGTGGATGGCCTGCTTCTGGCGCATGACCGGACGGCAGATACCGTGCCCGGGAGGTTGGAAAGCCTGGATTAGCGCGTCAATTTTGTGTGCGTGTGTGTCATTGGGGCTTTACGACGCACCCAGCTGCTAAGGCTATATGACGCCGTCCGCCTCTCACCCTGGCAGAAAGGGCGGGCGCCGCAGGAAATCTAACCCCTTACCGCCGCTTCCCCAGACGCGGGGTGGTTAACGCAGACGCGTTAACCACCGGCAACCCCGGTGCGTCGGTTTTGACAAACTGGCATTCCTCAATGCCTGTACATAGAGAGCTTTTGTCTATCACACCCGCCGCATCGTCCTACCGGATCAGGTCCGATAGAAAATTCCGTTTCGCGTAAGCAAACAGCTTTCCCCATTGGTTCAACTGATCTTTCCACTCTGATTATACAACGAGTAACGCAGTGCGGCGCAGAAACCACTGTGTGTCCCAGTTGCACTGGCGCAACTGTTAACATCATTGCTGCATTCGCCAGCGGGATGACAATGCTGAACGTCCACAAGCAGGCGAATAAACTCCAGCAATCCAATACCTGCTCTTCAAGACGAGTGAGCGAATCAGTGTATCTCTCGACCTTCTCGGACCGCTCGACGGTGGACCGGTCCACGGTGTGGACCGATCGACGGTGGACCGGTCGATGGTGGACCGGTCGATGGTGGACCGGTCCAGTCCGGAAGCGGTCCAGGGTGTCGCGGTCCGCCCTCGGCAACGTGGATCTTCTCTGCCGACGACGGGTCGAAGTCCGGCCGTGCTGTGGCGGGACGGCGGCGGGGTGGCCGGCGCATCAGGTGACCATCGTGCAGTGCAGAGGACGGGGCGGCGGCAGCGGGGCAGCGTCATGGAATATATGTGGCGATGATGGCGATTGATTCCGGTTTTAGACCGCACCGTTAGTATCGGTCGTGTGACGTCCATATGGAATAGTCAGATGCAGGCCACGCTTGAGCAGTAATGCGACATTTCAGCCGATAGAAAGGGACGCAGATAACCTTCTTGTATGACTTAGAGGTGCATTCCATTCTCACATTACCTACGCTTACGAACGTAGTCTTGGAGCAGTTGTAAGCTTTTGCATAATAAGGGCCAAATCTCTGACATCCGAAAAAAAAATATCTGACATTTTGTAAGCGGAGAAAAACTGCCCATTGAGACAAAGAACATGCATACTGGCAGGGACAACGGCATATCCAAATTGGCAACCACTTAATCCACACACTTCCAGCTTCACACCTTCCGACATATGGCTGCCTGAGCAACCGACCGCCGCCGCACGGTAGGGTCACACCAAGGTCGCTCTAAGCGCCGCGCCTCACCTGATTTGATGATTGCTTGATATGGGCGTCCTGGTCAATAGGGCAGAGGTCGTCGAGGGCGGAGCGGCTCCGGATCGAAGGTCCTGCTGTTCCACTCTGCAACCGGAGAGAGAGAGAGAGGGCGCCCATCACCAGGGTGGATCTAGCCTGGAGTTGTTTTTTTTAGGGGGGGGGGGGAGCAGCCGTTTGTCGCCAGCGGGCCGGTGTGGGATCCGAGGTCCAGTGCATGGTGCCTCTCGCGAGTACCTAGTAGGGACACCATTCAAGCACCGAAATGCTTTTGAATCTTCTATATACAGTATGCCATGTTACAAAACTCGTAACTTAAGATATTACTTTCAAGTCAAACTGGTCAGATGGGGCCAAAGTTAAAGTCAAAACAGACAGTAAGCAGACGAAACTTTTTGAAGTTCTTGGAATGTTTTGGGGGGGGGCCAAAACATACTCTCAGAGTTTTTGGGGGCCATGGCCCCGTGCCTCCCCCCCCCCCCCCCCAGGGATCCGCCTATGCCTATCACAGCCTCGCAACAGAGCACATCGAGGCAGCGTAGCTGCGCACACGCCGACATTGTAGCAGAGACTTCATGTGCACACCCGCACATGAGCAAGCGAATTAGGTTTCAAAGACAGGACGTGGACATGCACGGAGAGCGAACGACACATTGCCATCGCGAGTGACCTGTTTCAGTGTAAACGGAACTGGAGCGGTGATCGAGCCAAATGTGCAGTGAAAAATGGGAACAGTGTTATCAAACGTTTGCCCCGATATTTACGCTTTCCCTGATATTTACGCTTGATATTGTCCTCTGAACAATACCAAGCGTAAGGGGTGTGATTTTTATCCTACATCTTCCACGCATTTCGATTCCGGGCACGAGGAGGTCACGTAAAGATCGAAGGACTTCGGATTCAACATAGTAACTCCTGAGACGAGAACGTATTTACGCAGAAACAGCTCATCACCAACCCTCAATGCTGGTGTTGTTCAGGGTGTTGTTGGTGACTTGTTCGATAGCCAGCCTCTTGTCCTGGTGGTCAGCGGCCCGAATCACCTGATGATCTGGAACAAGGGCGCGTCTCTCGCATCACAAACACCAGAAGGGGAAGACCAGCAGCGTGTACCAATTGAGTCCAGTCATGTCGTCGCGGCTCGTCGAACAGTCCATTCAGGTCGCCCCCAGAAGGCCATTATAAGGCGGTTAGTCACGTCGGCACCATGCGTGGAGTGCTCACACAGTGGACGACCTCTCCACAGCAGGAATCCTTCACCGTCTAGCTAGGTCTCTCGATGTCGCGACCCAGCCGCTCCACCAGCAAAGCCCGGAAGCATGCGAGCCTCAGCGAGGAGCCAGCGCCGCTGCCGGGTTAGAAGCCGTGCGACCAGCCGTGCGTCGCCTCCGCCGTCCGCCGCGCCGCCCGTACCTTTGACGACCGTCCGCTTCAGCGAGTGGAAGCTGGTGGCCTCGTAGCCGGGCTCGGTGACCTTGTAGCGCTCGACGCGCGCGTGCGAGTGACGCCGCTCGTCGGTGAACTCCTCACCTCGCGCGTCACCTCGCGGCCGTCGTCAAGCGTCTTGGTCTCGCGCAGCACGCGCAGGCCCGGCTCGGGCTCGCTGGAGTCGCGGCGCACCCTGCTGACGGTGCGCTCGAACAGCTGGCGCAGCTCGTCGTAGCTCTCGTCGCCGGGCGGCGGGCGCACCTGCAGCGCCTGGCTCGGGTCGGCGGCCGGAGAGGTGGGCCGCGCGCCCAGCAGCTGGCTGCTGGGCGGCAGCGCGTCGCCCGGCGCGAAGTAAGCGCTCCGTCACGTTTTGGATGCGCTCGTCCAGCAGCTGGTCGGGCGGGTCGACCGGCCGCGCCACGCCGTTGCGCACCACCTTGGCCGTCTTGCGGAAGGGCGGCTCGGGACTCGATCCCGGCGCGCTGCGCAGCGGCTCGAGGCGCCCCGGGGATGGCGAACGGGGTCGCGTCGCCTGGCCCGGCACCGCCAGCCGATCGGGCGTCGGACGTTCCTCGGTGGTGCGCGTGCGCGTCGTCTTCGTCACAGTGCTGGTGTAGCGCTCGGGCGTGTCGCGGTCGTGCGGCCGGTGCGTCTTGGTGACGGTGGTGGTGTGTCTTTCGGCCGGAGGCCGCCGCTCTGGGGTGTCGCGGCTGTCGGGCCGGTGGGGTTCGGGCGCCACCCGGCGGTCCACGCTGTGCCAATCCTGCGACCGGTACTCTCTCGTGACCGCGCTCGTGTAGCGCTCCGGGGTGGGCCTGCTGTCGGGACTGTCCCGCTCCTGTGGGCGGTACGTCTTCGTCGTCGTGTAGCGCTCGGGGGTCCGCCGCTGGTCCGGGCTGTCGCGACCCGACGGCCGGTACGTCTTCGTCGTCGTGTAACGCTCGGGGGGTCCGCCGCTGGTCCGGCCGGTCCCGCTCCTGCGGCCGGTACGTCGTGGTAGTGGTGTACTTCTCCAGCGGCGGGCGGCGCTCGGGCGTATCTCGCTCCTCCGGGCGCGCCGGCCTAGTGGCGGCGGTGCGGCCCGGCAGCGGTCGCCGGTCAGGACTAGAGTCGGTGGAGGGCGGGTAGATGTAGTCAATCTCAGTCTCCTCCACCACGCGCCGCGTGACGCGCGGCCGTCCGGGCCCGTCGACCACCGGGGCCGGGCTCCGGCTGTGCCGCGGGTTCAGCACGCTCTGCGTGATCTCGCGCCGCTCCGGCCGGTACTGTGTCGTGTTAGAGTAGACGGGCGGCGAGGACCGCCGCGTCGGCCGGCCGCGCGCCTCGTCCCCGCTCTCCGGGCTGTCGCTGCGCCGCTCCGTCACGTGCCGCTCCACGTGCCGCTCCACGTGGCGCGTGTACGTGGCGGCGGGCGGCGACGGCGAGCGTTGCCGAGGGCTCAGGTACCGCTGCCCGGTGGTGGTGTGCGAGACGGCGGCTCTGGGCGTGGCGAGACCGGCCGCGGCGACACGCTGCGCCGGCTGGAGCTGTACCGCTCCGTGCGCGTGGTGTACGTGGTGATGGCCGGCGGGCTGGCGGGCCGCGGCGCCGCGTGCTCCGGCCGGCCGCCGCGGGGCGAGGGCGCCCGCGGGCTGGTGGCGCGCGGCAGGGACGAATACCGCTCGGTTTTGGTGGTGAAGCTGCTGACAACCGGAGCTGGACTGGGCCCGCGCGGCTCTGGGACGTACCGCTCTGTCCTTGTCGTGTAGCTTGTTCCCACAGGTGGAGGACTGGCGGCCCGCGGCAGGGTAGAGTACCGCTCTGTCCTTGTCGTGTAGCTTGTCCCCACAGGTGGAGGACTGGCGGCCCGCGGCAGGGTAGAGTACCGCTCTGTCCTTGTCGTATAGCTTGTCCCCACAGGCGGGGGACTGGCAGCCCGCGGCAGGGTAGAGTACCGCTCCGTCCTGGTGGTGAAGCTGCCCGGCTGAGGGGATCGCGGCCGCGGGCTGGCCGACCTCGGGTCGACGCCGTAGCGGTCTGTGCGGGTGGTGACGCTGCTGGTGACCATGGTCGGAGAGCGCGAGCGGTCGGCCGGCGGGCCAGTGACGTACCGCTCCGTCCTGGTGGTGAAGCCGCCCGGCTTGGGGGAGCGCCGCCGATCGGCCGGGCTGCCGTCCCGCGGCCCGTACCGCTCCGTCACCAGCCGGCTCGTGTGTGTACCGCCATCCGGCGGCGCGTGGGGCTCGACGCGATAGGGGTATGGCTGCGATTGTGGAGCGTCCTGATAATGCAGACCACCTACAGAGGGAGAGGGGCGTTAGTGGTCCGGTTAGAGGGACAGTGGTGTGAACCGAGTGGAGCGATTGTGTTACGAGATGATTCGTTAATATTTCGGGGATCTTGGAGGTTAACAGAGTTAATTTCTATGTTGAGTCGAGACTATAGTAGTTTTAGAAGGAACAGAGTTCGAGTCCAAAAGTCGTTTTGTTCAAATGTCACAAGGCCTAGATGAAATTTAGGGTCACCATTTTAACCTTGCTGCAGACTGTAGCACACTTAACTGTAGATGTTCTTTGAGGCTTTCTGCATTCACGATGCAAATACGTTTGTGCGGACGAAATACACGTCGACTTTGTTCTGGCGGCCAGCGTGACATGTCGTCTGCTATCGAAACGATGTAGCCCAGACGCGACTGACCCGCTGGAGCAATGCGTGAAGCTCTTTGTCCACTATGTAAAGTATTAGAGGCTGCAATTCCCTCACAACATCCCGACACTAAACTGCAGTACATTTCCAAACCGACGAACGGCACCGAAAAAGACAAGGCAGCTTCTCTCTTCCAGACGTTGGCGCACTGATGAGAGAGAAACTATTTGTCTCTCCCTGACACGAACATCGGCTACGGCACCTGACCGCACACCTCACCTCAGCGGGCCGCTAGTGCCTGCCTGCTCGGCCGTTCGCTTACTTTTCATCTCCTCCAGCGTGGAGCGCATCCACTGGATGTCCTCCTCGGGGCTCTTGACGCGCGGCGGCGGCGACGCCTTCAGCCGGCTGTTCAGCTCGTTCAGGCGGCTGGCGTTCACCGTCGAGTTCATCGACCGCTTGGTGATGGAGTGCTTGCCGTTCTTGTCCACGCGCAGCTTGAATGGGTTACCTGCGTGGGAGCAGGGTCGATGGGTGAGCAGGGGTTATTTGCAGTTTTTATCCCAGGCAGCCAGAAAGTGATCGTTTTCACAGGGGCTATGTCAAACACTGAGCTGTTGAGGCTACTTATGGCGTCGCCTGGATTTCGTCTTGGCCAGAAGGACAGACTCTGCAGGAACCGAGCTCTGTCCTTTGGTTTCCCAGACGCGCAGCTTAACCGCACACTACCGGGACCCTCAGAAAAGGATCTCTTCGAATATACTTTCAATGTGTTCTTGCCTCTGGCGAGAACGTATTCCACAGCTTGCTTGCGACAGCTGTTTTTGCAGCTGATCGCAAGCGTCCTCAAACGAGAGTCGGCGCAGCGAGTCGCCAACGAGAATCAGACGACAGTCACCTTCAGTCGCGCATAGCTGCAGGTGCACGAGCGCTAAGGATTCCGTTTTAACGTGACACAGGTCCCGAAAAATGCACACTCGTCCCGATGAGTAGCCCCGTTCTTTTCACAGAACATGTCCCGCTGGACTGCTGTCTCAGCGCCTCACCTTTGACCTCGATGCCGTTGAAGTAGATGTACACGCGGTACTTTCCGTAGTCGGGGGGCGTGACGGTGACGCGGTACAAGTCCTTCTCGATCTCGGTCAGCGTGTGCGGCAGTGAGCGCGCCTCCCACACGATGTCCGTCCTGGCTTCCCCCCAGCCGGCGTCCCGCGCGTCCACCATGAACGTGAACGGCCGGTCCGGCTCCGTGCCCTCCAGTTCGCCCACCTGCGGGGACGGGTCAAGTCAAGTGACTATAGAGGTCAGGCCAATACGCTGGCAACAACTGAACGTGAGTGCGTTTGCAAATGGTTCGCCGCGAATGGCTCAAAAGCGCGCATGCTTAAGTCTGGACAACTCATCCGCTATTTCGTGTAAACAATAGATTGCGGACGAAAACAAAATCCAACCAAAAACACGTGCGCGCGCACACCGACACTTCTCCGTTTATTTCAAACAAGGTACCTCGTTTCCTGATGAACGCGGCGGAAACAACTACTTCAGTCCTCACACAACCTTCTGTGTGTCTGACAAAGATTTAAAGCAATGCTACTTTCGTAGTCTCACTCCCCCCCCCCCCCCCCACACCCATCGAAGCCTAGGAAGCCAAGCTTCTACCTGTCTGAAAGTGCTGTGAATGGTGGGTCGGTGAGGTGTGTGAAATGCTGCTTGTTGTTTGCATGCTCGTGTATCGTGTAGAGGTTGTGCATGGTAAAATGCTGAATGGCTTCTTCCAGGTCTGATCAATGTGTTAACAGATTTGCAAACGACGAAGTCGAGTTAATGTACCGATGGAATAAGGATCGATATCTAGGAAGAGGTCATGTCAGTCTGCAGGCAGTCGCGTTGTTTTGCAGTCAAAGTTGGGGCAATGTGCGCCAGAGGTCAAAATGTCCGAACCAACCACAAACCGAACAAGCCAACCGAAGCCTGTCTAACATGCCTGCAACTGCACAGATCTTATGGCACCAAGATCTGGCGACATACCCAAGGGACTCGGGAGTCGCTCGAGCTGCCGATCCCCCCCCCCCCCGCCAAAGCTCTCCAGCACACCTCTCCCCCGCCCGCTGCAGCGCGCGCCGCTCACCCTGACGGCGTGCGGATCATAGACGAAGCAGTTGAAGGGCGAGCCCTGGATGTGCTGGCCCTCGTAGGTGACATGGATCTTCCACTCGCCGACCTCGTCCGGCTGGAACTTGGCCGAGTAGACGCCGTCGGTGCAGGAGACGGGGCAGTCGAGCGGCCGGTGCAGCGGCGAGTACGCCGTCACGATGATCCGGCCGTCGCTCGCCTCCGTCGGGTTGATCTGCGGCAGAGGACGGGGCGAGTCAGGGCGGGGAGTGGGTGGGGGAGAGTCAGGACAGAAGCCGGGCGAGTCAGGGCGGGGATTGGGTGAGGGCGAGTCAGGGCAGGGGCGGGCGAGTCAGGGCGGGGGGGTGAGGCGAGTCAGGGCAGGGGGCCGGTGAGTCAGGGCGGAGGCAGGCGGGCCAGGGCGGGGGGTGAGGCGAGTCAGGGCAGGGGACGCGACGAGTCAGGGCGGGGAGTGGGTGAGGGCGAGTCAGGGCAGGGATGGGCGAGTCAGGGCGGGGAGTGGGTAAGGGCGAGTCAGGGCAGGGGCGGGCGAGTCAGGGCGGAGGCAGGCGGGCCAGGGCGGGGGGTGAGGTGAGTCAGGGCAGGGGGCCGGTGAGTCAGGGCGGGAGGCGGGCCGAGTCGGGGCGGGGAGCAGGTGGGTCAGGGCTGGGTAGGGGCGACTCAGGGTAGGGGGCCGGTGGGCCAGGGCAGAGGACGGAGCGAGTCAGGATGGGGGGAGGGGGGGGGGGGGGAGCGGGGCAAGTCAGGTCGGGGGCGGGGCCAGTCAGGGCGGGAAGCGAGTTAGTCAGGGCGGGGGGAGGGGGCAAGTCGGGGCGGGGGCGGGGCGAGTCAGGGCGAGGGGTGGGGGAGTCGGGGCGGAGGTGGGGCGAGTCAGGGCAGGGGCCAGTGAGCCAGGGCAGAGGACGGGGCGAGTCAGGGTGGGGGGGGGGACAAGTCAGGTCGGGGGCGGGGCCAATCAGGGCGGTGGTGGGGCGTGCCGTGGCAATGGAGGACTCGTGTGTCATGATAGTGGGGTGTGGGGGTGTCACGGAAGGGGACGGGGCGCATGAATACGGTGGGTCACAGCGGGGGGGGGGGCGGGGTATGCAAGGGCAGAGGCCCGGGTGTATCACGGCGGACAAGCGTTGGCCCTCTACCACCGCACGCCCAGCTCACGACAAGGGAGAGGGGGGGGGGGGGTGCGAGGCAGCTGGGAGGAGCGTGCTTAATTATAACATGAAGGAGGAAAGCAACAGGTGTCCTTGATGCAAAGGTCGGTTGGCATTGATAGCTTGGGGCTTGGGACAAATGCAACGAAGGTTAAGTTGGCTCCGAGGGTACACTAGGCGAATAGCTTCGCACGTTGTTTCCCTTTTCGTCTTACTATGCACTGCTTTGGGCTCACTTTATGTTCAGCGAGTGTTCTATGAAGACGATTCACGTGCCACGGCAAATATCAACGCCAGCCTCTCCTGTCCGCACCTGCCACCTCATGGCCCGTGTGCACACCAGCTGCCCCCTGCTGGCCGACTCACCAGCACTTCGACGGTGGAACCGAGCGCGCAGGGGTCGATCCCGGACGGCCGAGGCGTCAGCTTGATGAGCGGCCACGGCCCTCACGCTGAACGGGCACCCATCCACCAGGTCCTTCTCGTGGTAGACGCGCACCTGCCGGGAGCAAAGCCAGAGTAACACACTGAACGGACGCCCATCTACCAGGTCTTTCTCGTGGTAGATGCGTACCTGCTGGAAGCAAGGACAGGGTTACACGTTGAACGGACACCCATTCACAAGGCCTTTCTTATGGTAGACGGGCACCTGCCGGGAGCATGGACAGGGTTACACGCTGAACGGACACCCCTCCACCAGCTCCCTCTTGTGGTAGACACTCACCTGCCAGGAGCACGACCAGAGTCATACGTGGTCAGGGGGCATAGCTTAGCATGCGCTAGCGGTCACGTTTTTTAGCATGACGTTTGTTTTGCTCCGTCACGCTTCTTTTACAGCGCACCAGCTCCTGAATGTGAAACGCTTATCATCATTTGATGGTAGCAAGCAAATTAAGGTTCCCTGCAAGTGAATCATAAGAGATCAAGAGTAGTTAAACAGCGTATCCTGGACATGCACTCCATTTGCTTTCGTAAACAAGTACTGACTGCATCAAAAACTGTTTAGATAGAAACCATCCAGCCATTGTGTCATGCTACACATTGCGTCACATCCAACCGGTCACCAGCCGGCAGTGGCTGTTGGTATTCCTGGTCACGTGACACCCCCCAGCCACGTTACGCTGCCTTAACACTAAAAAGCAGGTCGATAAGTTGGCGTATGATGGCGGATTGGAGCTTTTATGAGTTACTTAAGATTTAATAGTCAATTTTGTTTACTGTCAACAAACTGGCCACTTCGGGCCAGACTATTTGCTTTCCAGCATGTGATTATTGCCGACAAATGCAACGTCCCACGCAATAGACAAATCGCTTATGCCTGATGATGGTGGAGCCTCAAGCTGCACCATACTTGCAGCGCCGTCGCTGTTTGGGCGTGGGGCCGGGCCGGCGCCGGCCGCCATGGGGGGCAGCTCACCTGGTGCATCTCCATGTCGTTGGGTGTGAAGGTGCAGGTGATGTCGCTGTGGTGGGGCCGGGCTGGCACCGGCCGCCATGGGGGTCATTCACCTGATGCAGACCCATGTGGTCGGGCGTTAAGGTGCAGGTGATGCGGCTGTCGTGGGGCCGGGCTGGCACCGGCCGCCATGCAGCGCAGCTCACCTGATGCATGCCCATTTCGTCGGGTGTGAAGGTGCAGGTGATACCGCTGTCGTCGGGCCGCATCTGGACGCGGCCCGACCGCGACCCGGGGCCCAGCACGTCCACTCGCAGGTCGGCCGGGTCCACCGGCGAGCCGTCCAGGAAGTCCAGACGAAACGTCACCTGGGCGCGGATGGTGCTACATGAGACCTGTTTTACATTTATATTTGGTAAAAGATAATGCGATGCATGTAGTCAGGCCCCCGTTTTGAAGCACCAGCGACTGCATGGGCTATATTAACGCCCAGGGTTCATGGCGCAACCGGGATTCGAACCTGGGCCCACTGCATGGGAGTCCGGTCTGTTGCGATGCTTAATAGAGCGTGATCACAAAAGACAACATACCTATCCGTGGCAGGTCGTAATCGTGTTGACAGCTCCACATGCACAAGACGTGCAAAATCTCATACGTTTCAATTTTGAACATGTGGTAACAACACTTAAAAGGGTGTGGGAAGGATGCCCGGTTCTCAGTAATCAATTTCAGAACAAGTATCCGCGCCGTAATATCATTACGCCTGACCATCACCCAATAAAACTCCTCCGCAAGCTCTCGGCTTAGCCCCCAACCTGGCGCAGCGTCAGCCGCGACAAGCCGCCTCCCAAGAAGCTCAGCAGCAGCAACAACAGCAGCAGCCACATGACTACATCGCAGACGCATTTGGACATTTTGAGACGCGGCAACCCATCGGCTAGCATCTATAAGAGAACTTCGGAACCGCGCTCCGTCGCGCCACGCTCCTAGCTCCCACGGCCGACACCGCTTACACCTCCAGCTCCCACGGTCAGTACCCTTCATACCCCCGCTCCCACCGCCGGCACCCCCGCTTCCCCAGGTTTCAAGGCTGGCCACCCCCCTCCCCCGGCTGCCGGCGTCCGGCAGTTCTCACCAACCCGGCATCGGACGGCCGGCTCAACTTGCTTCTCCAGCTCTCACAATCGGCGCCCTTCACCCCGCCGGCTCCCGGCGGTCTGCACCCCTTATTCCGCGGCTCCTAGCGGCCAGTATCCATCCTTTCCTTGGCGCTCGTCGGCCTTCACCGCTCATCCCTCCGGCTCCCGGCGGCCAACACCCCTCACTCCCCCTGGCTGTCATCGCACGGCACTGCTCACCGGCTCTCCGACGCGAACGGCCTTGGTGGTGCAGACGGCGCGCAGCTGCTGCTGCGGCACCTCGCGGCGCGGCAGCCACATGTAGCGCGCCACGTACGACATGGGTCCGATGTAGTCCACCTCGGGGTCGGCCAGGTCACGCGGCTTCATCAGTGGCGGTGGCACGCCCAGCCGGGTACCCGCGTCCACCGCTGCAGGGCACGGCACGGTCAGAGGGGTCAGGTGGCACGGAGAGGCTTCCTGCGCAGGGAAACACAGCAACGCAGCAGCTGTCGGATTTGATGCGAGGGGTGGAGGGAGATGTGACATGCACCCACCTCTGTGCAGGCTACTCATCCAGTGGTGCCCCCCACCCTTCAGCAGGCTCTCCTCCAAGTGGTTTTCCCCGCCTTGATGCAGTTTGTCCCTAACCATGCGATGTTGGTCATATTTAAGTAGATCTCTTCCGAGACAGATGGAGCTGCCCACTTTTCCTCATCCTTCTCCCAGGCCGATGGTGCTACTCACCTCCCGCAGGCCCTTCTTCCTGACATTTGGTATTACCCACCCTCTGCAGGTACTCCTTCCTGGCCAGTGGTGTTACCCACCTTTCTGCAGGTTGTCCCCGCAGACCAGCGGTATTACCAACCTTTCTGCGGGTTGTCCCCCCAGACCAGTGGTGTTGCCCACCTTCCTGCAGGCCGTTTCCCAGACCAGCGGTGTTACCCACGTTTCTGCAGGTTGTCCCCCAGACCAGTGGTGTTACCCACCTTTCTGCAGATTGTCCCCCAGACCAGTGGTGTTACCCACCTTTCTGCAGATTGTCCCCCAGACCAGCGGCATTACCCACCTTTCTGCAGGTTGTCCTCCCAGTGGTCCGGGTGCCGTCTGAGCGTCTCCGGGGGCGGCACGCGACCGCCATGGTTTCGAATCAGCTTGTTCAGCTTGATGCCGTCGTTCCAGTCCGTCTAAAGGTCCAGGAAGTGTCAAACGTGAAGGCGGTTTGAATGTGACGAGTAACTGTGGTCTATCGCGTCATTCACAGATTGTAAAGTATCGGCATGAGCGTGCTCCTTAGTAACTAACGTTTCACGTAAAGGTGTCATTTTAGCATCCAGAATACCAACAGCCACCATATTGTTGGGCTTCGTTGTTATTTTGAATTAACATCCGGTTATATTCCGATAGTTCGAAAGCGTTGGCCAGTACTTGGTAAATTGGCATACCCGAATCAGTAAACACTGCAACAGTTTCATCCGCATGTCTGAGAGCAATCCAGGGGCACTGAGGCCGGCCGGCGGGCTAGAGCCACGGGCCGGGACGGCGGGCTGGAGCGGCGGGCCGGGTCGGCGGGCTGGAACGGTGGGCTGGAGCAGCGGGCCGGGACGGTGGGCCGGGGCAGCGGGTTGGAGCGGCGGGCTGGAGCAGCGGGCCGGGGCGGTGGACTGGAGCGGCAGGCCGGGACAGCGGGTTGGAGCGATGGGCTGGGGCGGTGGGCTGGAGCCGCGGGCTGGAGCGGTGGGTTGGAGCGGCGGGCTGGAGCGGTGGACTGGAGCGGCGGGCTGGAGCGGTGGACTGGAGCGGCGGCGTGGAGCGGCGGGCTGGAGCGGCAGGCCGGGGCAGCGGGTTGGAGCGATGGGCTGGGGCGGTGGGCTGGAGCCGCGGGCTGGAGCGGTGGGTTGGAGCGGCGGGCCGGGGCGATGGGCGGGAAGTCTGGCTGCGCCGATTCGTTTGCGTACGGTGAAGTTGTTGATCTTCTCGTCCGGCAGCTCCTGGCGCACCCAGTCCAGGGTTGACTTGTAGCCCGGGCCGTCCTTGTTCATGAAGTAGGACAGGTACGTCATGCCTGCGGCCAGTGTCGACAGGTCACGAAAGAAAACAGCAGAGACTGACTGAAAGCCTTCAAAATGCGCCATTGGTCGTGCTTAAAACACTGTCATCATACATATGGGGCACAGGTAATTGCCAAATATTAGTCGTTTCTACGAAGCAATGTAGCGTGAAATGTTCCACGATCCCGTTGAAGTGTGCAAGACTAATGAACGTCATCATTTGTGATATTAATCTCCTAGAATGACTTCGTGCACACGACAATTAGGTGCTTTGAGCCATAAGGGAAGCTTGATAAGCAATATGCCGTCTGTGCCAATGCGCTTTAGATAATCGGACATATAATCATCCCCATCTTACCTCAAGTCCTAAACAACCCGAGAGTAGCGCTGCTATTAAATCAACAGTACTTGTGTTACAGTACTTTTGCGATACTTTAGCTGTATTTTTCGGCTGTGACAAATGAACGGGTGCACTGCCCCAAGGAAACGTGGTTTGGTACATGTTCAGTGTTTGCATGTCATTGCTATCCATTTTGACGCACCAGAGAGCTCGTCTATGTAGGGCGAGGCCAGATATTCAGGATCCAGCACTGTGGGGATGCCGAAGTGCTTCTTGGCCAGGCTCATCGCACTGCGGTTGTTCTCCACTCTGAAACACGAGGTAAACCCTAGGCATGAGGATCATAAGTCGATTGTGAAACATGAACAGAATGATAAACTTCGGTCGTTGCTTAGGAAGAATAAATGGCAAGCGATAGCTAAACATTGAAAACCGTTGCCAATCTTCCATGACACGAGGTCACGCATGTACAGCTTCTGCCGACCTGATACCGGCCCAGCCCTGCCGACATGTTCTCATGTTCTCACCCTTTCCTGGGGTCCAAGTTCTTCCAGTTGGGTGCCAGGCCCGGCTTGCAGTAGTCCACCAGCGCGTTGAGGTTGACGCCCGAGTTCCAGTCGGTGGTGAAGTTGTTCACCCGGCAGTCTGGCAGAACACCCTGAGGAACATGAGCGCGTCACTTAGCTGACAGCCTCTCGAATCAGTCAGAAGTGTTGGAGATTAGCCGCTCACAGCGATTTGTGACGTGTGTATAAATCAGCTCTGTGTTCAGCCACTCGCAGACGGGGTGGGCCGGTTTCCTGACCTTGCCGTAATTGGTGGTATTCGATGTGGTGTTACCCCATCACAGTGCGCCCTACACGCCTGTTACTGGGGGAGAGAAACGTCGCAAAACGCGGGCACCGTCATCATTTCCACTCATTATCGCTCTATCACGACTGGAAATATGCGCTTGGGTGGGCATGCGCCAAATGTCCTGGTGAAAGACAGCCATTTTTAAAACGAAAACGATGGCAGAGGCTTCATTTACAACGGCGCTGTGTCTGAGTGACCGCCGCCTTAGGGCGGGGTGGTGTGACTTCGAGCGTTTGTTTGTGTCTGGAAGACTTGAGAGTTGAGCATCTGTGCTTTGTGGACCAACTCCACAGGTAGACCAAGCATGAAAACTGTTTGGCGCTGCACGCAAAACAACCCAGACCGCGCGGTAAATGCGGGGGGATCATGTAAAGAACGTGACGTGTGACACATGGCTCACAGAGGTCAGCCAGAGTTGCCTGCATTTGACTGTGAGGAGAGGGTCTTCACCTTTCTCTTCCTCCTACGCGTTTTGTAAACATCACTCGTTAGCAATGACAGCGCAGATATTTTCCTTGTTAACACGCTTAAATGCACATCATCTTGCTGTTGAAGGTTGGCCAATGGCCATTACCCGACATTCCACAGTGACATGCATTTCCCATGCCGGGAAGGAGAGGACTTCACGGGCTGGGTAAAGTCATGGGTACCCATCAAAGAGGGATAATGTCTTGGGTTAGGTACAGATTCGGGGAGAACTACTGATACATTTACGAGCATGGGCAATATGTTTACCAAAAGTTCGGTAGAAACTTTAAAAAAAATCGCTTTACCACGCCACTGCCGGCGCTTCTTTCATTCAAAATTGGCGCCATTCACACCACCTTTGCAATTATTACCGCAAAAGGATGGGTTTGGGCGCAAGCGGTCCTGAGCACTTTCCATGAATTGGGACTGAAGTCGCGAAAAATGCCAACGGGTTTGTAATGGGCGAATACAAATCATTATAAACCAGTAGCGGGCGGGTGTGAGCACAGCCCTGTTGGACCAGCTGGACTGGATGCGCTTAATTTTACCCGCGAGTGCCTCTGCAGAATCCTGTCGACAGTGCGGATCACAGGCCCGCGCGGCGGTTTTGAGACTCGTTCTCCCTCGCAGGCACAACTGTTCGGGTATGTGCCCAAACTCCCTTATGTTTTTGGACACATTACTCTCAGCATATTTGCTGCACTCGCGGATTGACATGCAGCATGACTAAACAATCCAGCTGTCACTGCTGTGAACACCACATTGGCATCCATATCGAAAGCCGACATGCACGCACGTCACATGGAATCATTCCGGACAAGGCAGAAAGGACGTTTCGCAGTCCCCAGCTGTTCTTGGTGAGGTGGGGTAGGAGCGAGACGGTTATTTTTGCCAGAACTATTAGGCCTACCACAACAAATGTCAGCGCTACACATACAACACGAACAGCGGGACCAGCACTTGCCGAGATGCTGTCAGCCGGCAGCAGGTGAAAATAAACTGTGGGCTGAGTCATCGCAATCTACCGCTGACTCTGCATTGGAAAGGGCAGGCATGTGACAGTATAACGGCACGGCAGGAGAACCGGAGCTTTTGCGGCGGCCGCTCGGTTTCACCGCTGGAATAGGCTTTCCCGCGACATTTGGAGGGTTGGGACACCGCGGCGTTGTCCAGTACGCACGGGCACTGCTCGCTTGAAATGGAACGTGGCGTCGCTTGATAAATAATGGACGCTGGTGTGTCGTGAATTTCATAAGATGCTTCAGACACTCGCTGCATGTGTTTATGACGTCATTGTTTTTTTCATTGTTTGCGATTCAATATGAGACTCAGTATTAATGATACTTGCTTGGCACCTTTGACGCGCAACGTTAGACATGAGAAGCTTGCGCAACATGACAAGCGCAACATGACAAGCTGTTTTGCATTGGAACTCTTACAAGGCGGGCCTTCAGCATGTCACTGACGCAGCGAGTAACGGACTCGTGTTGTGAACAAAGGAGGATACAAGCAGACCTTGACGCAGCTCAACGGTCGCCCAGATGACCTATTCGACATAGGACGGCTCGAGGAAGTACTTCCAGGAAGCAGTGCAAAAGGCAGTGGGACGCTGTGCTCCAGCTTCGTGCTAGCCGCGCCTTCCGCCTCCAAGCTGTCCTCCAAAAACGGCGGATTCGGTATCACGTCAAACCACGTGCCAATGAGGAAAGCAGATATTTCACCGACAAAATCGCCATTATTTACCTGAAATAGGTTTAAGTACATCTTTTGGAGAGGTCTCCCCACCACTAAATACACCAAGCAGGACCCATTCGCATACTTTAAGCATGCTTTGTCCGGCCATGCTTAAATTATGCCGGCTGTTATTCGTAAGCTGAGAGGCTCTTATCGTGGTACGTGAAAACTAAACTGAGCCCCAAGAAGAGGTGCCAGTGGTGACTGAACAACTAAACTAAGATTCTGAACATAGACGTTAGCTATCACGGATCAGGTTAACAGACTATCTTAACATACCTAATGCACTTATTTATCACGTTAGCAATCTTTGCTGCATCAACCTGGTGACTACCGGTTTCGAAGGGCCCTCATCTAGGTCAGCTCAAGTTTTTAGCGAGCCGCGATAAGTAGCGCGGGCACTTACCCTACGCCAGACTAATGTCGACCCCATCAGCTCGAGATCACTCTGTTATCCCGTGCATGGACAGGCGTGACTGGGTGCGCCGGTAGAGTTGGAGAACGCTGATAAACGCTGTTGTGTCCGAGCCACGATACCAAGTAGCTTCGAGAGGAGAAGTGTCACATAACCACATATTTGAGCATGGTTGTTGCGGCCGTTGCCACACCCCTTTGCCATTGTCGGCATTTTTTTTACCGGTAGTGGCTGGTTATCGCGATTAAGGTGTTGACGTGGGGAAGCTTCATCTGGGACCGACGAATACAGGGCGCCCAGCTCAGGCGGATTCTTATTGTGACACCTTGCTGTGAGCGAAGACAGCAGAGGGAGAAATGGAGAGAGAGAGAGAGAGAGAGAGAGAGAGAGAGAGAGAGAGGAGAGAGAGGAGAGAGAGAGAGAGAGAGAGAGAGAGAAAAAAAAAAGATGGGGAGAGGCGAGACACACCTTTCAGTGAGAATCTTCCAGTTTGTGTACACAAAGAGCAAATAGAGGAATGTGCCGAAGACGTCTTGTGCACTCCCCGCGTGGCAAATACTACACCCTGCTGTTGACACATCACAAAAACGCCACTGCGTCTTCCGACGGCATTGCACGAAGGCTATTCCCCGCGTCCTTGTATCCTGCGCATGACTCCGCCCGAGTCGGACGCGCCCGGCCCGGGCACCGCATGCATGAGGCAGCGCCGCGGCCGGGCAGCCGCGACGCCAGCTGACTGCTGCCGTCCGCCCCTCCCCTCCCGCATCCACCCCCGGGAAGTCGGCACCGATCAGACCGGTTCTGCCGCACCGCCCATCGCCAGGGCCGTCATGCAGCCGGCGCCGTCCGCCGGCCCGCTGCAGTTGGGCAACGCCGAGCTGGAGCGGCGCGCCGCGGCCGGCCGGCCGACCGGGCGCAGCGGCGGCTCTCTGGCGGCATCCGGCCCGGCCCGGCCCGGCCCGCGTTAGCCAGCGTCTTTTTGCCGGCGAAGCGCCTCTCAGCGCCACGAGTCGGCCGGGGACAAAGCGGCCGCGACCGGGTCGCCCGTTGCCCAACAGGCCCAGTGACCTCGGTGACCTTGCGGACGCTCCATGTCCCCGAGCGGCGCTGCTGGTGGGCCGGCTCGCGGTCCTGCTGAGGGTGTGTGTGTGACGTCACCGGGACGATGGGCGGTCGGAGTGGCGTCGGGTCTGATCGGCGTGGGTCGGCGGGAGCGAGCGCGGCGAGGATCGCGAGACCAGATGGAAAGGGAGATCGGTCGGGTCTAGGTGGGCGCCCAAGGCAGCCGATCCCGGAAAGCAAGGACACTGACGGACCTGCGGGGAGTGGTTTGACCAGCAGGACGGGAGGAAATACAACGCATTGAAGGGAGGTAGAGATGCCTCTTCATTCAGTTACCTGATAAAACAAGGTATAATTTGCATTGCAATGCAACATGCTTAAGTGGTCCATTGGAAATAAAATCGCAGGCATTGTCAGCTGCAAAATTACGCGAGTCCCTGTACAACACAACTTGTATGCACATGTCCCTCCAACGAGTCAAATGTGTGCCTGCATTTTTCACCATCACTCTGATGGGGGTCGATGCGACGGCCCCATCACCAAGGTTTTTTGAAGATATCTTTCCAGCACTTTGTGCAGTCGTGCCCAAATTTTCATTGGCCCATGGGAAATTCATTGCGCGTGTTTTAACACTAAAAGCATACTCCCATCTTTTTTGGTTTCAGAGCGGCAACAGTTTTCGAGGAACACTGCACGGCGATCTACGGCCCGGCGCGGGCGGCGAGCGGTAACGGGCGGTGCCGGGAAATCCGCGCGGCGGGTCGACGTTGTAACATTAATTAGAGTCATACATCATAAATGTATGCTCAAAACGTACAATAATATACATCATTGTAGTCAACATAGAACAAGGAATGCGTCTATTAAGCTCTCGTATGGCCGCAAGGCATGGTTTCTTATGTATAGTGTTGTTAAGCTAAAGAGCTCCATTTTCTGGACAATTTGACTTTTAATCTGCTATAATTGGGATAAATTATCGACATGATAATAAAAAAGTGGCACCAGGCACGAGATACCGTTGGTGCCAATCCACCGGTGTTTTGTATAAGCTCTATCGTTATTATTTTGGGAACGCCAGGGAGTCGCATCGAACCCCACCCCCACCCCCACCCCCCTCAGACCGC